CTTTATTTACATAGTGGCCATTGTATAAACTACTTACCATGTGATATTGGATGGTGGGGAGCTGAAAACACTGCAGTTCATGATAATGTCCACTCCAAGCACTACAGCGTACTCTTGATAGTCTCTTGTCAGTATAAGAGGAGCCACGTCTGAAAGCAGGAGGAAGGAGGTGAGATAACGCTGGCTCAGAAGTCAAGTGAAATGAATGAAAATAGAGATATAATTCAAACACGGACACGGCAGCCTCTTGAAAGGCCAGAAAACCACATTGACGTTTGTGAGTTCTGCAAATTACTGAAAATCCAGGGACAATTATAAGTCATGTACCTCATTTCACAGACAAACACCAGTTAGTATGTCAAGGTGGCTATTTCAAACATGGCTGCAACTGACAGAAAACTTACTAGCCATAATTTTGATTGTTGATTTGAAGATTTTTTTGATCATTTTATAGGTTTTAAGTGGGTTGGCGAACCTTTATACCCCAGTCAGACCACTGAAATCAATCAATTAGATGCTCTTGGATGTTTTGAAATCTACACACAAACATGATCGAGCCTTCGCAGTAGCTTTTCTGGGAATTTCAAGTCACTGTTGAAGACTAACCTCTTATTTTTGGCACTCAATTCAAGTAGAGCTTGAAATCAGGCTGGACTTCACCCTTTGTCATGTTGTACATTTTCAATCTTATTATTCCATTTTCGTCTTTTTTTTTTCGCATTTGTCTTTTAATGATTCTGTTTCATGGCTTAGAATTTCAATTGTGCAGCACTTTGGTTCACCTCTTGTCGTTTTTATATGTCCTCTATAAATAAATTAGACTTTGACATTAACATCATGCAAAAAACTGCAGATGGTTCATCGCTTACATCTTCACAAATGTGAATCCTTACTTGACATTATTTAAAAATTAATAAATAGCAAATCAATTATCTGAGGAAATAATAAAATGAGGAATGAATTAATAATTCTGAGTGTTTTTTTTGTTTTTTTTAGTTGCAGCTCTGCTTAGCTTTAATGTCAGCAGGAAATAGAGGAGCAAACAGCACAGTGTGGCTGTTTTAGACAACAGAGGAAGCTCAAAAATCAAATCTCCTCCTCCAGATTGTGACTCATGTTAGAAGTAACATTCACAGCGTTAGAATGGAAGGAAGCCATTGAATCAACTGTGACTCCTGCTTCAATGCAGGGTACCGCTAGTGATAAAGGTGGGTCCTTGGCATGTCGATCCCATGTTCACGTGCGGTTAGCTAAGACATTGAACCCTGACTCTGCTCCTGACGGCCAGGCCTCGCCGTGCAGAGGAGCTTTTCTCCATCAACATGAGGATGAGAAGCTGTAAAGAATTAAAGTGCTTTGGATAAAAGCTCCATTATCATTTCTAAAGAATGTCACAGCATAGAAGATCCAGTCAGCATTCAGCTGAGGGAGAAAACTCCTCATTCATGCTAGCAGGCAAATCATGAATGGGTAACATCTAAGTGCATCTAAGTTTTAGAATGATGGAATACAGCAGCAGAGGTTGCAGTAAAATCTTAAGGCTATGTGGGCGTAAGTGCTCCTTCTTCTTTATAGCGGCAGCAGAACGGTCTCTGTGACTGTCAGCCAATAAGAAGATGGACCTAAATGAATTGTGGGATCCATTACTGTCACGGTCACGAACTAATTTAGGCAAATGCTTGCCGGATGACAACAACAACCCCTAAGAACCTGTGAGATCAGATAAAACAACATTTAAAGAATGGATGAAGCTCAGAATGTGAAACAACTGCAGGTTGCTTGAGTCTGCAGACTGTGTTTCTGTTGTCGTACTCACTCGCAACCATGATGTTAACGTTGGCCAGAATGCTGCCGTGGCTGTTGGAGGCTTCGCACTGGTAGACGGCATTGTCTTCTGGCTGGGCGTTATGAAGCATCACGACGTCATCAAGCACCTGCCTCTTGTTCAACTCATCACCTGACAGAAATAACAGTCCGAAGAGTAGGAAATTATGATGGACATTGTATTTTCCAAGCAATTAATGAAAAATTACAGTTTTAAAATCCACATTTATCTCTTCTCTCTTTTTCTCTGACTGCAGAATATGGATCATTTTTCTATGCGTTACAGCTTTTAGATTGTTGTTGTTGTTGAAAGGAGGGGGTGTAGGTAGCCTTGTGAGTGGAGGACAAACATCACACTGGTGAAAAATGTGCTGTAAAATTGGATGTAGTGTGTTTGCAGTTTTAAACAAACAGCAAATCTTCAGCAGGAGAAAAAATAAAGCAGTTTAGTCGCAAAAGAAACAGCACAAGAAGAAAACACAGATTATATCCAGCAGTGAACAGTGCTGCATTGTGCTGCCTTCTGAAACAACCATTCCTTGGTTTCTCTCTGGTATATAGGGAAAGTGGCTTTCCAGTTTAAAGTGGCCAATCAGGGCAGGATTTGATTTGAGATCCCACCTACTCAGTGAACCTGTAAAAGAGCTGCTCTGGCCTCTGTAAGGAAGAAATTGAGGCGGTGACTTCTGTAAACTTAATGTCTTTTTAACCGGCTGCTCACTTTAATCAGAGCAGTAAACCTAACTTTAAGAATTACGGTTTTCCCTGTAGCTACTGGAGTCATTAACCTTTTGCACATTTTAAGTTGCTTACATTGTTTGCTATGCATTCTTGCTCGCACATTCTCGGGCAATTAATTTGCACATTCCTGCACACTAGAAGTATTTCTATTACTTTTTACAACCTGTAGTTCCTCGATTACACTTGCTGCTAATTTGGCATCTTGCATTTACTGCCCACTGACTTGCAACACTTTTTATGTTTTTTTTTAAATCATTACGTTGTGGTATGCACTAAAACACCAAGTCAAATTCCTCTAATGTGAAAACCTACTTGGCAATAAAACCTTTTCTGATTTCATAATATGTCAGTACACAGGTTTCACATAATAGTCAAGCATTTCTTACAGAGGAATTTATTGATATTCAGATTGAATAATAATAATCCAGGTACTACAAAAAGATGACAACTATTGCTTTTAATTGCATGAACGTAGACTTCAATTCATTGTGCCTTGTATTTAGAATAGACTAGAAAATAATAGAATTCCTTTATATTAACTGCACAGTGTTTAATGAAATTAGGCAGTAATCCTGTCAGTGCACAAGATCACACAACATATTTCAAGTTGGTAATACAAATTATAAAAATCTAGTTGAATTTTTTTTTAAATTCTGAACAACAACAATGAAGCCTGTCTGCTAAGCTTTGAACACACAGTAGCTTGTCGCACTGAACTCCAGGTTCTGTGGTTGAAGCTGCTCGTTGTGCTGTTGTCCTGCTGCCCGATGGCAAAAGACAAATTAAACCGCAGGTACAATTATTCTCACTCACCTCTGAAGATCTCCCCATTCTTCCTCCATGTTATGTCTGGCGATGGTTTTCCACTGACCGAGCACTTGATGTGAACATCAGACCCAATCACAGTCAGCTGGCTCTGAGGAGGCTCTGTCAGCCACTTTGGTGGCTCTGGGAGATGTTAAGAAGAGCAATGTTGGTCTCAGTCAAAACAAATGCCATCCCCGTGTCAAGAGCTTTCCCAAATGCACCCACAGACGCATGCATAATTAGCTCCTGATGTTGACTAACCTTCCACAATTACATCAAAGTAGTGAACAGCCTTTCCGGCAGAGTTTTCAGCCAAGCACATGTATTTCCCCTGATCCCTCTCGTCTACTGCAGAAATGGTCAACAGCCTTTGAAAGTTGGTCAGATTTGTCGGTGCAGGCAGGTCGTCTCCCATTTTTGTCCAGGTTATTTTCGGAGTGGGACTGTGACATGAAACGATGATGTTAATATACCAAACATAGTGGCAACGTGGTTGCAGAAGTGATGATACAGAGTGAACACATACAAGCCCCCTGGTATACATTCCAGCTGCAGGCTCTCCCCTTTCAACAACACCTTCATCGTCTGAACACCAGAGGGCAGCAGCAGGCTGGGTTTCCTCACTGGGGGGGCTTCAGCTGCATTGAACATAGAGAACAGTCTGCCTCACTCATGTGTATAATTTTAATTAATGATCATTTCAACTGCACACAAGCTTGTCGTCAATCTGTTATCTACAGCTTTTAGCAGCATGCAAATCAGCGGCGTCGCCTGCTCGCATAATATGAAACATGTTTTGATGTATTCTGTGCAGGCTTTGAGGTGTGACTATCGCTTAGTGGCATCGTCGGCATCAGAAGACTCATTGTGTTTTTTTTTTAACTGGAACCAAAACAAAATACTGTGACAACAATGCTGGTGGTGATTGTGATGGCTTGTTTTCACCAGCATGCAACTCAATCGGGTGTCATAACAGAGTTTCCTGGAGCATAAACATGACAAGTCAAACCCTGCTTCTTGGTGTGTATCTTGGCTGTTGGAAAACATCCAAATGCCTTTTGGAAAAAAACAAAACTGGCCTGATTTTATATTATAAGTGTGAGCATGTTTATGACATTAGCTTCCCAGGATTCTCTCTCTCTCTCTCTATTGATGAAGCTAAGGTGAGCAGCAGGTTTTTGTTTTTGGGTTAAAGCTACAAAAACTCCGTTATAAACCTACAGCTTTCGACCTCAACGGCCATGGCGGTTTTCTGGACGATGGTGCGTATTCTGGGGAAGGCGGCGAAGCAACAGTAATCCTTGCGACTGTCTTTCTGTAAGGCATTAGAGAAGTACAGGTTGCCATCAGTTCCCATGGAAACCCTCTCATCCTGCTCAATGTGCTCGAGACCTGGAAAAACAACATTTCTGTGTTAATAATGCGCCATTAGTGTCAAAAACGTCTTCATGTAATTAGAACCCATGTTTTTTTTATTTTCATTTTAGCTGATAAGAAAGCAAACATTGGAAAGAAAAGTCATAAAGTACACCAGAAGGTTAGAAGTAAACAAAACAAAATGACCACCAATTAGACTCAGGTTACATAAGATACACGACATGATACCAAACTGCAGCACAGTGTGGCCTGCTATGTGATAGATGTTAATGGAAATGCCCTTAAGACTTTCCTAGTACAGACTTTGTGAATTCATAAAGGCACTATGGCAGCATGTTTGGTTTATATAGAGCCATTATTTAAGAAATGGGTCAGTGGTGCTCTGTGTCAGTCTTGGTCAGCCCCTACACTGTATTTAACAGGTTCATTTAAGACTTAGCCTGAAGACATTGGATGTTTTTTCACTGTTCAAGGCAAATTTATGAGGAAAAAAACCCATATTTGATTCTGATTTATGAACAAAAGATGCACCACTACTACAAAGAGAGCTCTATTTTTGTTATGAACTGGATGCAGACAATGAAGCTGCACGTCATTAACAAACGTGTTTGCTTTTTTAAGACCAACTTTAGCCTTTAAAGTCAAAATCATATCTTGCACGATGTTTGATGCATTTATTTTTGTGACAGTCCATGGAAACATAAATCTATGGAACAAAGACTTAAACAGAACTTAAAACAAGACTTGTGCACAAGTGTTTTCAGTCATTGTTCCCCGTGCCTGAGGGCCCGTCCTCCTCAGCACTCAACAGGCTCTTATGTTTTTTGTTTCTGACATCAGTCAGGTTTGTTGGAGGCAGTTGAGGACCTTCAAGGGGGTTTGGACAGAAAATTCAACCCCTCCATTGACGAAGCACTTCAGACCGAGGTGACCTTTAACGCAATAAATCACTTTCTGTGGCAGCGGTGGAGGAAAAAAGGGCCCTGATGCGTAACTCAAGTGTATACCTTTACTGAGCTGTCCTTATTGTCACTGCTAACTGATGGCCAGTGGGCTGTTTGAACAGACATTTGCCTCCTCCAGTATAAATGGTGCCACCAGTCACTGTAGTTTATTTAATCTGTGAGGATCTTCTGGAAGCCCAGACAGACCTTCACACTTTCTAAACTATCCCACCTTTGAACCCTGTACTGCGCAAATAAGGAAATGAATCCTTTATGAACTTCTTACTCGAGGACAGTGAACATATCAGTTTGATTCAAACAAACTACTTGTTAGATTGTCAAACTCCATCTGAAATACTTGATCCTGTGTCCAACAAGTGATGTAATTTTCCATAACAGGCAATCACAGCAACCTCGTGCTAGAATTGGATTTGAAAATTTCTCTTGTGCTCTCAAGTGTAATATCTTGAATGGGTTTTTGAAGGTTTTTGAAACTGTTATCGGTCATGCGTCTAACCTACTTTTATACCTACTTTTACCCAGTTTGACACACATGAGCAGGTGCACCACAAACCAGACATTAAACCGATAAGACTGCTTTTGTCAGCAACTGTTTTGCACTTTATCAGAAGTGAAATACAACTTGAGTAATGCTGCAGCTCAAGTCTTTACAAGCATACCGAACATGTAAATTACATACATAAACACATGCTTCATGGCTTACCAAGAGACATCCAGTACAGCTGACGTGGGCCCACGCCTGGTGGAGGGTTGCACTGCAGGGTGAATGGTTCACCTTCCTGAACAATAATGGGCTCAAGTGTTTCTTTTGGAAACTTAGGGATACCTAATCAACAAAAAGACATTCAGTGTTATCATAAAACAAAACAAAACACAGTGGTGTGATGACTTTGAAGATGATGTAATGTTCTTAAGCAAAGGTTACTTACTTGGAACTATGATCTCGATCTCCTCCGTCATGGCACTTCCCAGCTTATTGGAAGCGTAGCATCGGTATTTACCCTGGAACTTGGAGAGCTGCTTGCTGTGAAGCACAAAAGTGCCATTTTTGCGGTGTGTTTTGTTTGTTGTGAATTCCGAGTAGTTGAAGTCTCGTCCGTCCTTTGTCCATCTGTACCTGCAGGAGCGAAAGAATACGTAGCGGGGTTCCATTACCGGATCATGACTGAAGCTTTGATGTTTTGTCACAGTTCATCTTCATTCATTTGGTGAATTTATGTCACTCACTCTGGCGGTGGGTTGCCCCTGGCTTCACACCTGACAGTAATGGTGTTGTCAAAGGGAAGCGCAATAATGGGGCCTGATGTATGAGTTACGATGGTTGGAGGCTGCTCCACTACAACATGAAGACAAATACACAGAATCATTGCAGAAATGTTAACACCTTCGTACGTGAGAGAAGACTGCACTGACACAAAAGAGACTAGGTTTTGCTTTGTGCTGTATTTTTCCCGTTCTTTCTTACTACTTTGAATGAAGCAGAGAAACCAGAAACTTGACTAAGTTGTGTGCCAACATTGCTGCATAATCTGCAAATAAGGTGCCTTGGATAGACACTGACCTAAAATGGCACAGCAGAGTTTGATTGCAAAGAACTCTGAGCCCTAAACAACGAAATCTTTTCAGTAACACTTGTCACCTAAACAATTTACTCTAAGTTGTTATTTGTTAGCTGCAGCGTTAAAAAGCTCCAAACATTTATGCTCAAGCAGGATAAACACCTGAAAGTATAAACACCCGCTCTGACAAATTTTACTCACTTACAGAAACCGAGAGAGAAAGGTGCAGTTAAACATTACACATGATTTCATTATCAAATGAACCTCATAAATCGACTCTTCATTTTTAGGCTGTGAACAAGTCAGCGTTATCTGACACCCCTACCTTCCAGAGGGATATTGAGGCCTGCGGCCGTGGTGATCGAGGCCAAGAGCAGAACAAGCTGCAGGCTCCCTGCCAACCTCATCACCCTCCACTTATTAATGGAGACAACTGAGATCAGGAGAATGTGTTGATCAGCTGCCGTCAGTTGGAATTTGTAAGGCACAGAGGACCTAGAGGAGAAAATTAAAGTGCTACATTCAGTAATTCAGCTTTGAAACAAAAAAACACAGGCTGGCTAATTTGTAAAAGTGGTTATCCTCGCATGCATCTGTTCTACTGACAGGAATGCAGCACTGAATGAACATCCCACATGGCTAATTATGAGGGAAAATAAAGATCTGACAACATTAAAAACATGTTAAAGACCAAAATCTACATTTGTATGCTTGTCCATATGGTGGTTTTTATGTTCTCAAAGACATTTTATGAGCAAAATAAGTACTCAGCGCCATGGCTGAGCATTTACACTTGGAAACTGCAGTGCACAAATGACAGCCTCAAAAGCACAGATGTAGACTTCCTGGGTTTATTACATAACAAACCCAAGGAACCAATCCCGTCAACTTGTAGGGTGGGGCTTTCTGTATCATCATTCTTCTTCAAAACCAGTTTCTGGATCAAACATGTAGGGATTAATTGCTCCGATGCTACAAGTTCTGATAATGTTTTACAGTGTTTGAGCAGAGCTGCAAGTGAGCTGGTGTGCTTGATCTGCAGCGAGAGAGAGAGGAAGGGACTTCATTTATCCACACGTTCTAAGGGAAGCAGTGATGTAAAGTTACATCAGGCTATTTTAAGGCAGGAAGAGAATATTATCATGGAAACAAACTTTAAATATGTATTTTGACAGAGATTAGTTTTAGAGAGGAACTTTAAACTCTTACAGATACTTTGCAATGTTTTTCTGTAGTAATCCCAGTCAAAACACAAATATCCCTATTGTTATGTCTTTAACTTTCATTTCAAATGCGTTGAAATGTTTCAGTCTTTAAAAAATCACACTTTTGCTTCAATTAGTCACTTATAATTTCACTTATTAAGCAATTGTAAAACTGAAGAACTGCGATAGTCCTGTAATAAGTCCTATCCGAAGAACTTGATGCAAGACATCCCATTGAAGATTCCTTCCATTTAATGTCAGTTGTTCATCATTGTTGTAAAGTTGTAGCACAACACAGCAGAGCGCTCGTCTGGAGATTATCTTTTGAACTGTAAAGCCTGGCTGGTGGCATCTCATGGCGTGCTTACAGTAAACCCGACTGGCACAAAGGGTAAGCTGCTGTCTGCTACGATCGCTAGATCCAAGATGGCAGTCTATAAATTGGTCTAAGCCCGTCAGTGTTTCACGGCTTAGATCTCACAGTGCTGAGACTGCGGCGGCAGCACTGGCAATGCCAAATGGGTTCACCCTCCAGCTAATCCTGCTATCAGGAGAATGAAGGCTGGGAGCTCCTGCAGTCATACAGTACGCTGCTTAACAAAGGCTGAGTGCTACACTGAGTTCTTCTGAGGACACAAGGCTGCATGTGTTGTCCCTTCTTAGTCAGAAAGGTTAATATGGTAATTGTTATAGACTAGATTCAGGATTAAGCTGCTCGAATTTAGAATCAATTAAGCAAATTGGGAGATTGCGGCAGAGTATTATTTGCAATAAGGGACTTTGTGATTGTCTTCCACAGGTTTGAATAGTGAACAAAGCTGGTTAGATGTTTGCTCCTGTGGAGTGAACATACATGTTCATGTTGCTTTAAAGCTGTAAGCCACTCATTCTAGTCTGGTGCTGCAGGTTGTGGTTAGCACACTGAGGAACACATACACACACACACACACACACACACACACACACACACACACACACGTGTATGCCTCCACACACAGATAAAGCTTTGTATACACTAAAAACTTCAGAGAGAGAGTTGAGATTTATGTCACAGAAAGAAAACCACATCAGCACAGCGGAGCCTGCAAAGTCCCTGTCAGACGGGAGGCCCGCAGTCATCAGATGACATGAGAAGTGGGACCTTTTATCAGGATTTGTGCTGATCCTGACAACACAACAACAACAAGCACATAGCCAACTTTCATTCATGCGCAGCAAATCCACTGCCTGGTGCACACCCAGGGAACTTTATGAGTTGAGACAAATTACACAGCTTTAGTATGCACGTGCAGATCTGCAAACCTGCCACTTTAATGATAACTCAAACAAAGCTGACACAGTTCGCTTTACAGGGAAAAATCCTCAGAGCAGGGAACAGGGGTGGAGTCTCTATGTAAACAGATAACAAAGCATTTGTTTTTGGAAGCCAAGGGATCTGTTACCTGAACACATGGCAGATCATAGCCACAAATCCGCAGGGATTGTGTTACCAAAGCCAATAGTTGGCCGGGGCAGGAGGAGTGTGACTACTACACCACTAATCCTTTGCCTACACACACTGTATACAATAACCCCCATACTCTCCTTTCACCCCCACAGCTTGCTTTAAAATTGAACTTCACACAAGCTCCCCCTGGACAAAGCAGCAGCCCTGTAGACTGTCTGCGTAGCTGCACAGTACAGACAGGCAGGAATGATCTTGTAAACGCATGTCATTCAACCCAAATACTCATACAATAAATACAGAAAGAAACTATTCCCCAGGGTCGAGCAAAATCTCCTCATGAAGCAACCAATACTCACAGTGCTTTGAGTCATTTTACATCTTTAAGTCCACCTCTAGCAGAGGCCCAAGGCAGCTGCAACTACAAGTCCATTTAAAAGTAAAACACCATCAGGGGATGATTCCAACAACTCTCTCTGAACTAACATCTCTGACATGTCCTTCCTCCTCCTCCACCTCACGTTCCTCCTCTCCTGCCGTCCGGACACGCCTCCCCGCCCGCCCCTCCACTCAAGCAGCTAAAGGAGCGACAGGAGACTCGCTGAAGTGACATATGTCGCCAAAGCCTCTCACTTGGCAAAGAGGCTCTCTAAGCCCGCGACAATGACAGGGACAAAGGCTGCACTGCGGGGCTACTCAGCGAGCATTAAAGAATGGGTGGAGAGGAAGTACAGGCATGCCTCTCCCTCTCTTTCTCTCTCTCTTTATCTCACCCTTTTTCCGTCATCTTTCCATCCTACCTTTACACAAACTACCCATTTACACCCGGCTCCGTCTCAGTGACTCTAATGCAACGTGTCTTAGCTCCACTGAAAGGGAAACAAAGTCATCTCCTCTTAGAAGAACAGATCTTTTGTGGAAGTGTACTTTCATCTCCAACACAGCGCTCCAGGGTATTGATAGAGGGAGGCCCGGAAAAAAGAGAAAGAAAAAACACGTCTGAAAATGGCATGATGGTTACGATAAAAGACATGATTCCGCTTTTCCTTTCAATCTTTTCTCAAGGTTTTCTTTTTTGTTAAGCGGGCGTAGTTTCTTATCTGGAGAAATGTAAAGAATGAGTCATCTCTGTCTGTATTTCTTGTTCAGTTATTCAAACAACTTTAAGATCCATTCTACGAAGGGGTCTCTGATGTTATCTATCTGTAATTCTTTCAAGAGGCCTCATTCATATTCTAAGGAGCAAAGCAGGAGTTTGCAATATGGATAGCCCATAACAGACGGTCTCCTGAGTTTGTTTCTTGGTCTGTGTTGCATTAGGAATAACAGAAACTGTACCTACAGCATGATTTGCTAACTTTAATGGAGACATAATGGCTGCACCGAGGGGGTAAGGAATGCTCACACTGCCCTGTGGGCTCATCCAAGCAGGAAAAAGAGTTGTCACTCACTGCCAAGTATATTAAGGTCTGAAATTAGCCAGCAAACGCTCCTTGTCAGTCTTTATAATGCCAGATAAAGCAAAAAAAGAGACTAATGTTTTAAAGAAACCTTTACTGAGCAGCTTAGAGGTAAAAGAAAAAAGTCTTTCAAAATTCTAACTTGCCTTTTTGTTTATTCATTATGTGACTAGAAAGCGCCATCAGCTTGGAAGCTATACTTCTCACACTGCCCTATTTTTTTGTACTTTAAAATCAGTGACTGACTCAGACAGGTCTACGATTCAGCCTAAAGTCACTGTTGGTGCAGAATGGCTGGACATAATTATGCACTTCATTTAGGACAGTTGTCATCATTTCAAATTGACCTGTTCCGTGTTTAAGAGAGCGTGGCTCGTATAAACACAGAATAAACCCTTAGAGGCAAACCCTCTAACAAACTTGCATACTCACTCGCATGCTATGTTGACGTATGCAGAAAAGATTAAGACAGATAAAAAGACAATAGCTGTTACATGGAAAAAGATGTTAGACATTGTCTGATCTAAGGAACTATATAAAGAGTAAGTGGTAGGACTAGTTGGAGGCCAAAGAACAGGAGAAGAAGGAAGCTGAAAGTGAAATATAGCATGAACTTAAGTGATCTAAAATCCTATCTAGAATATATTTAATGGGATAACTTAAGCTATTCACATGTTTCTGATCTGGCTTGTCAGATAACATGCTGGTAACCTGTCAGTACTTTGTTGAGGAATTTTGAATGTTGTGGATTTTTATCTTCTCTTCAAATCTACTGAATGTTTCTTATTTCAAGCTATTCTTGTATAATTAGAATATTCACATGAGCAGGAGCAGACGCCTCCACACCAAACTGTGAGAGACTGACATACTGACTCGCTCACACTTCTTTTGGACAAGACCGAATGTGTCCTGTTTAACTGACAAAGCGCAGTTCAGGTTCGTTCTAATTATTACTCGCTAGGAATGACTCAGCAGAGTGAGGACACGTAAACTCTTGCACAATGAAATGAAACAATAAATAGATTGCTCAAGAAATGTTTTCAGGGTCACTGCTAATGACCAGTTTTATTATGTTTGCCAAATTTGCATAACTTAAAAAAACAAAAAACAGAAACCAAAAAAAAAAAAAACAAGACACACACGTCATTTGCGAATTCCAAATGTGAATTACAACTTCACCAGAGTCCCCTGTGGTGACACACTGATGGCTGTGCCCTGCCCCATGCCTTTGTCCTGATGCATTTCCTCTCCAACAGTCTTTGCCTCCGGTGCATACTGATAATTACAAGTCCTTAGCTCCTGACTTCGTATGTACGTAGTCATTACAAAATGTTTTCTGCACAACCTTGCAAAAAGCTTGACACAATGAAACATGAGCTGGGTTACAATAGCTGTTAAATACAATACATGTGCATATGTGTAAGGAGAATGATTTAAAAAAAACAACAGAAGGCGAAGACACACCTGTTTGCTTTCAACCACAACAGCGATTGAGGTTGTAACTCAGGTTGTAATACAACAAAAGTCACTCCACATACCCAGACATACTTGTGCGCCCACAAAAGAATGACAAGTTTCTGATGTCAACATGCACAATGACAGCCATGAGGGGAATTACAGACATCCGCAAACATCTGCTGAGGCTTCGAGAAAGGAAACTTCGTAGCCTTCAGACAAACTGTAGTCTTGAACAAACACAGGAGTGCTTTTACGAGCGCCAACTTTCCCCCTGATGACTTTGTGTCAGCGGAGCGCGCAAACGAATTGAAGCCGGAGTCAGACGACCGCCTCAGGTGGCTGTCCTCATACAAATACGATAAAGAAAGTGTAATTGGGCAAACGTTCTCCAGAAAACCTCTCGCATAAATGTTGTGAATGAATTATTACACATGTAGGAGGACAAACAAAGTGAGAAAGTGGAGCGGATGAGGCAGTTTTTATTCATTTTTTTCAATGTGATGTGTTCAAAACTAACCTAATTTAAGTCCCTTCAAGTCGACTTTTTTGTGCTTTTTTTTGCCCTTTTGAGGCCACGTCCAGATATTCTTTGAGCCAGTTCTCCAAACTGAAAACTTTCCTGGCTAATATAAAATAGTTTGATCTACAGAGTTGGGAACCGAAAAGCACACGACCATCAAAAGTAAGGTATCAATGTGTTTTCTGAATGAAATGTGCCTCATCACTGTGTGCATCGCTGGAATCTAGTAGAACTGATGTGGTTAACATTTCTGTAGATGCTGACTGGTTACTTTTCTTGTGGCAAATATGATTTCTTATTCTACATTTTATTATATTATTACATAACAGCCTACTGAGTGAGGGCAGAATTTAATTCCTATTCTTTACGGTGTATCTATACTCCCACGAGGAGAGAAAACGTAAGTTGTTTCCACTGAAGTTTGGATAAGGAATCCTAAAAACAACTCCACTATCTCGTAAAACACAGATAACCTCACCTGCACCAGCCTGTGATACACTGTAAGCTCAGCTGATACGGGCTTAACCGCCTGTAGCCATGTTTCCCCTTTTAAACAACACCCCCTACCCACACTTCTACAGTCAACACGTCCATCAGTCGCTGCCTTAACGTGTATCGTGTTTCTGTTTTGGTCCCCTGAGCATTTTTAAAAAGCTAGTAATCATGTGTGCCTGGAATTTGCACAAACAGCTCTCTGACAAACGCTTCCACATCAAACCTGTGCTTCCACTATTATGTAAAAGAGGCAGAAAGTGCTACACTTTTACAATGTACACAAGTAGAACAGGTTTAAAGCAAGTGTTTGGCGCTGACATGTCAACCAAACCTTAAAGCACTCCGCTGCCAAGCAGACACGTGGTAAGTTAAAGGTAAAAAGAAACAGCTTGTTGTTCTTTGTTTGACTTAAACACACTATTTCATGTGTTCTTTCCTCTGATCAATCTCTACTCTACCGCAGATTTGGTGAAAAAAAAGGTAAACACCACATGAGTTTTCAGCTCATTAACACGTGTTAATGCCAGAGCAGCTGTTTCATTCCTGATGTGAATGCTATGGGTGCTGCGTGGAAGCTTGACGCTCATCAAAGTGCCGCCAAAGTGGCCCTGTTGCGGTTTGAATCCTTCCTACGCTGGAACTCGGCGATTTGACATGTGAAGCGTTGCCTCAATAAACAGGAGCTAGACTGACACGCAAACACATGCTATGACAAACGCAAATTCCTAACGCGCAGTCCTTGAAGTTGGGGATTTCCTTCACAACTTCTTATTTTGAAACTGTTCGCCCACAACAGAAAATGTGGAATTCAGGTAATAAATTAATACAAAACTTTAATTTCCACACATGAAAAAAAAAGAAGAAGTCCTCGCACAGACAAGGACGAGAAAAAAACACATGAATCACTACAGAAATATGTCCCTTGCAGTCGCCGAGTGACAAAGAGTGGCATTCAAGAGCTTAATCAGTTTTCCACAGCTAGCAGCTCAGAGAAAAGACAGTTTAGAGACAAGCAGTCACACTCAGCTTCCTCCCTTCAGACACTGAGGCCACGAGAAGACCTCTTCACACCTTCCTTCACCCCGACACATTGTTCATCGCTGTCGCAGAGAGCCAGATAAGGGAGCAATGCTGTGCTCTACGGTCTGCACTAAGCTAGTAATTAGTTTATGGGATAATCTTGAAGGCCTAAAGTGGCATTTAGTTGGGGTGCTAAAGTCTTTTTTAACACACCAACAAATGGGGGAATTTCTAGTTGAAAACAGCCATTTGGAACAGTGCAGACCTTTGGTTTTTTTAACCAAATTTGCAAAAGTTGTAAACATTTTGTAGGATGACGGGTGAAAACATGGATTTACAGTTGTGCCTTCACGTATTACTGTTAAAATATGTTGAGTTAAAATCGTAGGCCGACTTCAGTGTGTGCTTGTTGTGGAAGAAAAAAAGAAATCTCTGTTTTGTATAATTGTAATTTACAGAAGGCCTGTTGGGTTGCGGAGATCGTGACAGTTTTCGCTCTTCTTGAGAATATACAGGCTAAAAATATTGATGAATTGAATAACATGAAGGGCAGATAAATCGACACTTTCTTACATCCGTTG